GCCCGGGGGGTCCCCCAGACAGTCAAGGAGCCACGGTGCCTGGCCTGGTTGGCTGTTCAGGGAAGTGTGATCACAGTGGTCAGTAGCCTCTACTGCCCCACTGCACACGTGGACCCGCAGCAACCGGCTGGCTCACCCCGCGGGAGACTCCCACTGCCTCCCAGTCTCCCCAGGACACCACGTGACAGACAGGTACAAGTTACACCTGCTGAGATACCCCATCACCCTGCGCCTCGGGGTTGGATTAGAGCATCTCTGTCCGTCGTGCTCAGCGTGGACCGTTCCTGACCCTGGCTCGGTATCTGTGGGCGCTGGGTACCCAGGTCTGTCTTAACGAGCCGCTGGTACCATGTGCCGTCCGCTTGTGCCTGGGACGGCCGACTGTTCGACACCTGGGCCTGTTACTGAGTAGGGTTTTGCGCGCTCAGCCCTGGTGGCGCCAATTCTGCGAGCAGGGGCGTGCCTCTCGCTCACCGCGTGTCTTGGCTTTGTTAGCCAGGTTTTGTCTGGTTGCCAGGCCTCACGCCAGGCCTGTGCTACATGGGCGTTGGTCTTAGGCCTTCATCGTACTGCGCTCCCGACACCTGCCGCCCGTCCATGGGACCTCGCATTCAAGGCGCCGTCGGCCTGCGCTGGGTTTTGGCTGGAGAGACGGGGCCTAACGAGCTAGTGCCGACACTGGAGTGGGGTCCCCAGAATGTGGGCACCGGAGCAGAGCTCCTTCCCTGGGCAAGAGGGCTGCCCATGGGCCCAAGCCGGTTTTCCTCTGGCACGGCCCCCAGAGCTCCCTGCCTCTCTCCCTGTGCCGCCTGACTTTGCTAGAGCCGGGCCGGAGCCAGGCAGCCACACGCCCCCCTGCAGGCAGCAGGCCCGGGTGCAGAGTCGGCTCTGCCGGGACCCCCACAGCCTGGGCAGGGCACCCCGGGTGCGAACCTGGGGCCCAGCCCCCCACATCTCTTGGGGGGGGTCCCCTCTCCTGGCGGGTCCTGTGTCGCCCAAGCGCTGCGAGACTTGACGGGACACGGGCAGTGCGGGGTATTCGGGGCCATGCTCTGCCTCCCAGCTCCTCCGGCTGGGCCCCCTGGGCAAGGAGGGTGG